GCGTATTCTGTTCAGAACGGACAGTCTAAACACGCGGAGAATACTCAGGCATAATTCAATTTGTGCGGAATTTCTCTCCGTCTGTACGCAGTGGTACGAAAAATCAGTTATGACAAGGGGCAGAAATTCGTCGGAAAGTTTTGTCGCATTTCCCCCCTCCCCAATTAACCTGCTAATACCGCTGTGTTAACCTGTCACCTCTCCTCACTTTTAGTCAGCCAGTTGTCGTTGTAATTACAGATGTTGAAAATTCTTGAGGTCCCGAGTTGTTTCCAACCAAGATGCTGCATATCTTGACTGAAGACTTTCATTTCATTTTATTCTGAAACGGTCTCTTAAAGGAAGAATCGATTATATCTAACTTATATTTTCTCAATTCGTTTGGTTCAGTAACATAACTCAAGTAGATAATAAAACGTCGTTAAATAAAGTAAGTAGGTAGATTTCTAAAACAATGTGCGACTTCGATGATACATATTACAGCAGTACTGGCTTATGCCTGTGGATTCAAAAGAAATATAATTTACCTACGTTAAATGAATTAATATTCATTTATCTAGAGGCGTGGACACATTTATGGCGCAGTGTAAGTAGCTACGTGCAGGATAAAATATGTATAACTGTTATCTACAGCAGGGGGAGACTAGGAATTCGTATAGGATATTGGTGGAAATGCCAGAAGGAAAGAGACCACAGGGAAGACCAAGGCGTAGGTTGGTGAACAATATTTGAATGGATCTTAGAGAGACAGGATGGGATTGGAAGGATTGGATAGATCTGGCTTAGGGTAGAGACCAGTGGAAGGCTCTTGTGAACACGGTGATGAACCTTCGGGTTCCATAAAATGCTGGGAAATTCTTGAGTAGCTGAAGAATTGGCCGCTCCTCCAGAAGGGCTCAGCTCCATGAGTAAGTAAGCAAGTAAGTTACATACAGCAGGGTGGCCGCCTTCTGTATTTGAGTGAACGTTTTGCGCAATGCCGTCATAGAGGGAAAATTTTTATGACAGTGGTCAGAATAAGCATCAGCATTCACAAGCTATGGAGGATTGGACTGGTGCATGGATGGATAGATGAAAGGGTGGATGGGAGGGTGGCTGCGTTGCCGGCAAGTGACGGGATTCAGTTCCCTGGAGGAGCAAAAGTTTTCCTTTTCTTCACAAAGTCCAGACCAGTTCTGGGGTCCCCAAGCAAATGCCTACCGATTTTCTTTTATTCGACGGTAAAACTTGAAGCTTGCCAATCAACTACATCTCATGCATAGGTTAAGAATTTGTGGAGCTATAACTCCACTCACCCATACATTTTCATAACCTTGTATTTAATTAAGCGCATGGGCAAATGGGGGAGTTTTCGCTGTAGTGTAGTTGGTTAAGGCACTATGCTATAAGCCGGAATGTCGCGGGTTCAGTTCCCGATGAGGTCATTGGACCTTTCAATTGTCCTAATTCTTTCAGCCGCACTATATCCCTGAGATCGACTCAGCCCCTAATAGAAATGAGTACCAGGAATCTTCCTGCTGGTAAAAGGCGGTCGGTACGTAGGGCTGAAACCTCACCGCCATCTGTGAGTCTATTGTCTAGAAAACGTGGGATCCTCGACTTCTAACTACCCTGTGGGCCTCCACGACCTGTTACAGGGATAGCTTTACCTTTACCACGGAGAAATATACTTGTTTACTTTTTGTTACTGAGGGTTGGGAAGATGGAAAGGGGCTTGATGTATGCATGGATTAACAGAGAGATATTTGCATGGACTGGTGGAAGGAAAATCTCCTTAATTCTTTAGGAAGAACCGGCCCTGCAACATGAAATTGTGGCTTGAGAAGGAACACGAAACTTCTACTGTTAAGTTACTCCAAGGCTGTGCTAAGTCTGAGAAAGAAAGAGACCAAACACAGGAACAAAATGGAAGACAGTAACCAAAATGGCAGCATCTCCGACGTTCAGCTCCACAAAATGTTTATTTGTCTGATATCCGGGCACTGCATTGTCTACGTGCAGCTCAAAGAAACGGCATCGTGATGTCAGCATGCGAGTGGCAGCAGAATAATAAACTCTATGTACAAGCGGTGAGAAATACACCGCACCTTGCACTAAGCATTTTACACTGTTAGAAATTTCCTGTGCATGCATAATAGATCAACAAGGAATATTTGCTTTGTGTAAAGATTATAATTAACACTCGATGTTACGAGCAAGATAGAAATATTCCCACGTATAAATCTTGTTTTGTTTTGGTGCTTGAAACCGAGAAACTTGGTTCGAACCGTAACGCTTCTTGTTGTATTTAAGAGGTGACCAGTTCGAATCTTGGCAGAGACACCAGCTGATCTGACTGTCCATGATTTATTTAATCCGTCTTGCAGTGACTGTGCCTCTTCGTGGGTTCACTAAATTACTCCGAGAAATTGACGTGATATTGCCTCAAAGTGGGTCACGGTCGCCTAATCTGACATTTTGTCCTATTCTTCTCACCGCCATCTGTGAGCCGATTGTCTAGATGATGTGGGAGCCTCGACGTCTCACAACCCTATGGGCTTTCACTGCCTGTCACAGGGATAGCTTTACTTTACTTACTTTACTATATAGTTTGAAACATTGGCAGCGTTGTCGTATGAAAGAGTAAGTAACGCCTTGGAACAGACTCCTTCTTGGCTAGCTAATAGATGCTCAGCTAGTCAAGAAATTTCCTGAATTGTATGGAAACTGAAGGCTCATAACCGTGTCAAAACAGCCCGCCACTATTCCCTATGCTTATCCAGATGTATCCATTAATGCGAATGTGTTGACGGGCTGCAAACACAGGAACACATCTTCTGGGACTGTAAACTGTACGAGGAAGAAAGGGCAACACTGATGGACATTTTGTGTGAGAACAGCTGAAAAGTAATACCCAAAGTCGGTTACAGAGCTCTTTAGGCTAAAGGAAAAAAGATTTGTGCAAGGCGTCTATTGCTTCATAAACAAAATTACTACATTTATTTTAAAAAGGAAAATAAATATATATACAAAGTAGTAATAGTATATTCTTAGAATTATGAGAGATATTAAAAAATCCTCTGTGTGGCCGCTATGATAGAATGAGATATTTATAAGGGTGTGTTACAGAGGGCCGAACGGGCATTGCCTAGGTCTTTTTTATATAAATGATTTTTTTAAAATAATAAAAGAGATAAATCCAGTGTGAAGCTCCTGCTTCTGTTTCGTTAAGCTCCAAGCTATCTCTGGCGATGGATGCAAAATATGGATCTTATTATTATGTAATATTCTCCAGCCTCGTCTTACTTCCAAAATAAATAAAAACTTATTTAATACACTTTTTTGTTTTAATGTAAAAACAGGACAAAAACAACTCAATTGAAATGTCATTTACAGGACAAAAATATGGAACATTTGTCTTTGTCTTAGGTACCGTAAGGTGGGCTAAGCAGGGCATGACATCTTCCTGACAGGCAGCGAGTCATGTTAGCGATGGAGTGATGGATGAAAATACAGGAGAAATCGTTTGCAGGACCCCGCAGTCCCGAAGTTCCCTTCATTTGAGATCGAGCAAAGAAAACTAATATCTGAGAGCAGTCACAAATCTTCTTCACATCAGCGAATACAGCTGTCTAACTTGACATAATTCTGCCTTAAGGAACGTGACAGCGTAAACCAATTTTAGCCTACTTTCCTTGTTTTCACAAAATTAAAAGTAAGCTTATGATATCAGCATGCTCTCTGTGTGTCTGTGTACCCTCCCTATCAGGTTTTGAATCCCTGAATCAGTCTTTACGAAACTTGTCATGTATATCATGGCACCTGAGCTCATCTCGACGAAGTACTTCATAAATCCCTCACATCAGTATGTGTGTGTTTGTGTAGTTCATTATATTTGCTAGGCAACGGTTCGGTAAGAACGTTACCGTTGCAACGAATACACAACCAACAATAGAATAATTTTAGAACCCTTGGTTTCCTTTCTGATCCATGTCATATTGAAGGAAATTAGGCGAATAGTTCTTCCCAGAACTTCTTGTATTCATACTGGATTCAGAGGCAGTTAGTATTCACGGCTGTTAGCTAGGTCAGTACAGACATTAGACTACTCGCCGAACAGTCGGAGCATCGGCCCCAGCCAGGGCACAATATTTTTCTCTTTAGAGTCCAGCTCGCCTTAGAGGGTCACCTAACATCTTATCCTGTGGCGCTGGGGCAGGTTTTCTCCGAGTACTTCGGTTTCCCCTGCTAATCTTCATTCCACCAATTGCTCCACAATCACCCTCACCTATCATCTGGGGCTGGTACAATAGGCCAGAAGTGGCCGCAGTACAAGGGACTTAGTCCCACCCCACTAGCAATAAAAAAATCTTATCGTGATTTCCATTGTTATTACTTGTTAGCATGGTTGCCCTATTCTTGATGTGACAGTTGTGTCCCCCCACTTCCCTACTCACCGTGTCCGGGAATCCACTATTTGTAGGAAATAAAACAATAAATTATGTGAATAACTGACTGCTTACGTTTCTTTCACTACATACTGATTATCAGATAGGACATGGGCCGCATATAACACACCGCGTTCAACAGTTCTTTTACTATTGCCTGTGTATTCCTTGCAGCGGGAACATTTTTAACGAGCGGTTGCCTGGCAACACACAGCAAAGCGATTTCATGAGTCTCCTTTTATTTCTTCAAAATAAGGAAAGTAGGCTAGAAATGGAAATTTGATGTTACCTTCAACGGAATAATAAATATAAGTAATTTTTACATATAAACTCGTTCAACGCACAAACATGACTTTTCCTCTATGAATTCTTTTCTTATTCGTTGTACAAAGAACGCCTCACCTAGAACCGGTACCTCTTCCTAGGAGGAGGTCCGTATCGTCCGTATGCGGTTTCCTCCCTCGCTCCTACGTGCTGCTTTGTGCACAGAACCGGTTGACTCCTCAAGGCCTGTCACGCTTTCCAGTGTCAAGTTCTGCTTAGCAGTTCAGTGATAAAGACAATTATCAACGTACCACTCGCTTCTATCGTGTTCTATTTTAGTCTTATAGCTGAACCCAAGTAGCCCACTGCAGTTCCCTGTTTCGGTATTGACTTCACCTCCGTTAGCGTGATACACATAAATTTGAGGCAAGAATATGGGTCATACAAGCAGCAAAGAGTCATCTTTAGGCTGTCTCCAGGAGCACTAGTCTTCTCTTCGTTTTCAGTCAACTGTAACGAGTATAGAACATTCTGTACGTGCGTGTATGCTTGTGTTCTCGCCCGCGGTGTCGAAAATGTTAAAGAGCAAGAAACTCCTCAACAACGGCTTATCGTGTTATTCTTGAAAGTGTCAGTAATACTGTTAACGTAAGGTAACATTTTCCCTGTGGTTCATCAATTAGGCACTACGCCGTGAAAATGGATGGGAAACAGAACCTATAGATCAACGTATTCTCGACCTTGGCACTATTTGGAGGGAATTGGCAAGGTTCACGCCTCGGCCCTTTACCTCCGAGGAAAGAGCCGCCGTTACCCAATTGGCTAGGAGGCTGGGTGGACCTCGGAACCGATCTGAACGAAATAGTGGGGAGAAAATTCCTGCCAATACCGGGACCCGAACTCCGACCCTTCGGTCGTCCAGCCCGTAGCCAGTCGCTATACCAACTGCACTGCTGACATTCCATTAACAATCCACCTAAATATAAATACATCGTATTATAACATCGCAACTAAATATTTTGAGTTACAGTTAAAACTTTTGTGTGTCCTATTTATGTGCCTGTGAAACATACAGTTAACTCCTTAAAGTACAATGGTAATTACATGTACCATTTGCTTTAATCTTAAATGACATATCCACATTTTTCCCCCACAGTGAGTTTATGTATTTCGTAGGATTTTCGTAACAAGAAATGTGTTATGCCCTAAACAGCATTAATGGGTAGATCTTTATATGGAGGAGCACTGTGTTTCCTGTGAGCATAGTGAATTTCATGCTACAGTGACGGAACTAACTAATATTCACATCTTCTGACTGGCAAAGAATCAAGGGAGTCTTGCATGTCGGACCCAGCATTGATGCCTCATGTAAGTTGTAGTGCCGGTTCCATCTCTCTCTCTCTCCCTTCATGCTTCAAAGGTCAATAAACTCCACAGATGGTGAGGACCGTACAAAGAGTAAAGAGCTCTATTCATCGGTGACGGTATATCTTCGTGAATGTAAAAGGCAGAGTCAGTGATTCGCTTCGCTTCCCTTCAAGATATGAATGATATGGAACTCTCAGACAACGAATATTGAAGCTCTTGAAGTCGTAATTATATATACGCCGTTCAGGAACGGGACAGTTTTTCATACTGGATGGGTTCCTCTTCAAGCAGGATGTCGTCTTCTGACACGCGTACCATTAATCTCTTATCGGTGATGTTTCCAGTGATCGAAATATGGAAATATGGTGAGTAGTTGTTTAATATACATGTTTGTATTTTGCAATGAAACTGAATCAACAGAGCAAATTTCTTCATGATAAGCTGACTGTTCCTTACGTGGTCAAGACATTACCCACCTACTTTTTTGTAATGCGAAGAATATTGAAGGTTCCGAATATGGTCTCTTGGGATATGACGTCGTGTAGTCTGGCACATAAATACCACTGCCTCGGAGGAATCTGCTGCCTCCATCTTCAGAGTGGAAGAAGTCTACCACACCACACGACATTATATCTCAAATTCCGGTAGTATTAATATTTACTTCAAATTTATTAGATCGAATTTGTTTTAAAACAGGATGCTAAAGAGAATACCTAGACTTAGTGGAGTGCAAGTGACGAGGAGATAGAGAAAATTACATAAGATGGACATTCGTGATTTGTTCTTCTTCACATATTTTTTTTCCTTGACACTACAGCCCCAGTGGACCTAGGCCTACCTCCATCAAACTCTCCGTTCACTTCGGTTTTTCTAGATCTTACACATTCGGTAGGACTCCTTGGGCGGGTGATCAGCTCGTCGCAAGGCCTCTACCTAAACACAGGACAACACAAACACACAAACTAAACATTCATGCCCTGAGTGCGATTCGAACCCGCGATCCCGGTTTCCAAGCGAGCGAAGACAGTACATGCCTTAGACCGCTCGGCTACCGTGACCGGCTCACATATTATTACGGCACTAAAATTTAGTTAAATAAGATGAACAGAAATTGTAGGAAGCATCAAGACAAGGCAAATGCATGCAAAATTTTGTTCAGGAATCCCGAGAGGAAGAACATATTTGGGAGACCTTGTCGTAAATAGGGGGATAACCATTGAAATGGTGAACGGAGTTCATGGAGGTAGGCCTAGGCCCACTGGGGCTGTAGTGACAAGGAAAAAAAAAATAGTGGAGATGAGACCTGTGATCCGCGTCACTGACGAAACTTGACTTTTTCAAAAGTGTTCGCCATTAGATGCTCTGTGTAGTCCGAAGACCGAACAAGCAACTAAAGTGTGTTTATATTCCTGGTCTAATCATCATCATGCTATATCTTGTCTCTTAGAATTGCGCCTGCGCTCACGAACAGCTAGCGTACGCCTGATGGAACCGGCTAAGACATAGGTGCGTTGACTAAGTGTGGCGTACTCGTACTGTGTATTATTTTAACGTTTTTCGTATCAGTTAATGGAACACCGCTGAACCACAATAGTAAAATAAAGGGTAATGCTATCCCTGTAGCGGACCATGGAGGCCCATAGGGTTGTGAGTTGTTGAGGGCCCCACATTATCTAGACAATCGGCTCACAGATGGCGGTAAGGATATCAGCCCTATCCCCCCCCCCAGGAAGATTCCTGGTACTCATTTCAGTTTGAGGCTGAGTCGACCCCAGGGCCATAGTGCGGCTGGAATGAATAGATAAATTGAAAAAATCCAACTCATCAGGACGCGAACTCGCAACCTTCCGGCTTGTAGCATAGTGCCTCAACCAACTACGCTACCGCGTGCCCCCAACAACAATAGTAACAGTATTTATTTCATTTTTCAAAATGTTAGTCGAGCTAATATGTTTAACATGAAGTCTTCATCACTTATCCACACACATTTATCAAGTCAGTTTTTCATGAAAATTTTCAAGAAAACAATAAATATAAATAACTCTTATTTTGTGGGAAGCGGTCATTATAAACTATAGAGAACTTTACTCAGCTTTTGTATTCGTTAGTCAAATTATTTTAGTTGCGTAGTTGCGTATTCTCAAATATAACCATGCTTTTCGAGACATTTTTATACTCCAAGTCGCTGATACTAAAATTGTATTTGTTACGGACCAGAGGGACGTGACTTACCGGTGCATGAAATGAATAGTTTTGTAATTTTATCGCAGCGACGTAGTAAACTGTTCAAACCCGCATGTTTTAACACACGGACGTGCCTCAAATTAACGTGTGGCAATTACTGATTGTGCAAACTGGAATTTATGGCTGGGCTGCAAATGCCAGTAACGGCTTCCATTTGACATAATTAGCATATGATCCATATATTTTCTGCAGAACTGGAACCTCTGTGGAACCGGGATAGCTCAGTCGGTATATCGACGGACTAGGCTTGGAAGGCCAGGATTTGATATTCGCCAGGGACAAGAAAGCCCACAGCGTCCAGAGAAGCTCTGGAGCAACCTGAGTTTCATATCCAAAGGGTAACAGAGTAAGGGTAAATGGGTCGGAAAGTGAAGCTAGTCACTCATTTCCATATATTGCCGAGGTCAAGAATGTTGTAGCTAAACCTTCAGTTCCTCATAAGTCCTTATGGTATTGTGTTCAATGAAGTAAGCACAGGAAAAATTTTACCTTGAGCTTTTTACAGGAACCTGTGTGTAAGGTCAGCTGAAGGAATTTAAGACTTGAAACTCGCTTACAATATTATTTAAGTAGCTGCTAAAAAGGTTTGTAAACATCAGGGTTATGTAGTTTATCCTACACATTCCGCGAACATTTCTGAATTTGAAAATTATCCATTCCTTATTTCTTTCTTGGAATATATNATTTTTTTTTTTTTTTTTTAGATATTCATTCTGAGATTCATTCGAAGCCCTTAAATATACTCGGTGTAAATTTCGAGTTTTTTCTTTTTTATGGTAAAACGGATAATATACAGATGTAGTTACCATTGTGCTTTAAATGTTAACATTTTATAAGTCTTCTGTGTGGGCGTATTTCTAACGTGTTGACGTTCATTTACACAGGCTCTAACATTTTACAAGTAAAGTGGATACAGCGGCGTTTAAACAAACTTTCAGCAACGTGGGAAGAATGCGTCGACATCCTCCACTGAAGCCTTCAGCGTGTGGGCTGAAGCTTTCAGAGAACTGGCTGGTAATATCCTGCCGCGGGCCTAATGACTGTGAAACGAAACGCAATGCACTTTTATTTTGTTTGCTTAATAATTATGAAAACCCTACGCAGTATAGGAGAAAGAGACGAACGAATGTGAATTACAGACGTGAATAATAATAATAATAATAATAATGTGACTGTTTTGTTTAAAGCATTGACCTATATAGCCAGAAAGCCCCAAGCCCCGTTGGTAGGTAAAGGCATCCAAAACGCAGGAAATCATAGCATAATTGCTGTATCTATAATAATAGAGGAATATGGTCATTGCTAGGCAACGGCTCAGTATATACGTTACAGCAACCACGCCGCAGTAAGGAGTCCATTGCTATAACAATACGCGTCGAGACTGATTTCTAGGCAGTTGCAATTTAATACGTCTCTACAATAATAGAAAAGATTTTCTATGTGGTCCGTGCCGCAGCTATATAAGGAGAGCTGTTAGGTGTAGGATTAGAGCACCCGTGTGAAGGCGGAGTCGAATACTGTTAGTACCTCGGAACTCTAGCCGTGGTAGAGGGGTCATACCATTTCTCGCGGGGCTGGGGGAGCAGTCTTATCAGCTTACGTCAGCGTGTGTACTACCAGTTTGGAATTTAGCGTCTTCGAGTGTGGTCAGGTGTATAGTACGTTGTGTTGCTTGTTAGGTGGTACTAGTCATAGCGATTGTTTTACGTGGTGTTCGTGTCACTATCATGGCACACCGACAATCGCACGGAACAATTCATAGTGAGGCCAGGGAAGTAATAGCTAATGTTTTCCGCTCGGAGAGTAGCTCTGAACGTCACCACAGCAAGCGTACAGCTTCGCGTGCTCCACAACAGCGTTTACCTTTCCGCGCGGCTGAAGTTACGAGGCACTAACTATACATCCACCGTGACCCTGCGAGTCGTAGGAGGCGACGAAATAGGAAGTCTCAAATCTGAGACAGTAAAATATGGTCGGGAGTCACAAGGGACTCGGGCCCGAGAAAGCCTGCGCTGACAATTGCCAGCAGCCTATACAAAAGACAGACCCATCCTCTCGTCATAGAGGGCGCCCCACAAATCAAGACTGTAACTGCCAAACAATAAATATCTGTCGTGATCCCCAAAATAGGCTCGACACCAAGACTGACTAACTGACTGTCAGTCGCCATGTGACTTTTACTTGACTTGACTTGTAGGATTGGAGAGAATGAGAGCCTCAAGAGAACTGGAGAGAGAATTACCCATGGAAAGTTCGTAGCTGAAGAAGAATTAGAAGTCGGCCTGTGAAGACTTAGTATGTTATTAGAAGATTAGTCACAGTGAGACTGTTTTAATTCCGTTACCAGGATACGACTAGTGAAGACTGAGAATCCTAGTGCGTGTGCAACGGTGAACTATAAATTGTGTAAATCAGCGATAATGCTGTATTAAATTCAATCACCAATCCAAACCCCGTCTATAACTCACTAATACATGTGACAATAATAATGACGTCATCATACTCTAGAACAGACAGCTACTGTCATAAACAGAAACTGACATCGGACTTGGAGACGAACAAGGAAAGAATTTGCTGATTCCCTGTATCATGTGATATACTGAAGATAAAATCTTAAAAATATTTAAATAGAAAAGTTTACTGATTGACGTGCAGCATATGTGGGATATGAAAATGTGATACCAGTACTCATAGGTGCGGCTCTAAGCCTATCTAAATCATTCCAAAATTATTCAGTAGCCATCACTGATAAACAAACACTCCAGTGCAGAATTTCAGCAGACGACTCTTCTTGGAATGTCACGGGTATGGAGGAACAAACTAAAATAGCCTCAAAGTTAATTTCATGTATATCTTTGTGCTGTTAAGTGATAAGCCTTACAGACTTATGGCTTATGAACAGACCACCCTGTAATTTTGTGTGAAAATGTAATGATAATTTGATGCAATTTAATTCTTTTTTATTGACGTTGAAGCTTAACAGCCCAGAGGCCATTACAAAGTTAGCACGAGAACGTAGAAAGAACCAACAAAAAACACAAACAAAATACAAAATAAGGCAGTTTATATAATAACGGTAATAATAATAATAATAATAATAATAATAATTCCGTAACAATTA